ATGTGGAGATTTGCAGCTACAATTTAATTGGAGAATACAAATCAGGCATGCCTAAAGAGCTCTACAGAAAGGAGATTGTTTCTCTTAGATCATGACTGTGTTAGAAAAGGGAGGTAGAGAATAGAGTCAGTTGTTTCAGACGATGCAAATTACAAACAAACAAAAACACTTTGTCATCAGTTTCTGGATATTTGGGGGGCTATTCATTCATTAATTCGTGTATTCATTTTTTAAAGTATCTTCTAAGTGCCTTTATATAAGAGACTGTACTCAGCACTTTGGGGATGATACAAAGAAATGTATTTAGTTGGGGGGGTGAATTATGCAGATAATTGCCATTTTATTCATTGTCTATTACCACTTGGTAGATGAAATGAAATGCCTTCCTTGCAGAAGAGCAAGATAAACGAAAACAGATGAAGAAATTGGGCAACTAATTTCCTTCAGTTCTCTCCCTGTTGGAAGCATTCTTTTTTTAAATCAAGGTAATAAATTGTCCTGCCAGATACACATAACACCAAGTTTGCTATGTCATCTAATATAACACAGACTTTAAGTATAATGACCCCTTGAAACTAGGGAGAGTAGGCTTAGGTTAGTGCCACGTTCTTCATCAGGAACACCAGATCAGGATTTAAGGGGAAATGTTAGTATCTAGCACAAAAAGTGACTTCCAAAAAGCATCTCTGAAGGCCAGAATTAAGTCTATAATACTTTCCGCTGTCTGGCTCCTAAACAAACTTTTTCTCCTGGCAGACATGCTTAAGGTTGTAGACAAAAGGGAACAGAGGTACCAGTGGGTGCAAGGAAACAACCAACAGAATTGAAGGCCCTGTCATTTGAGCAGAAGATAAGCAAGAGTTGGCTAATGAGTGTTGTTTCCTTGGCAGTCACTTTATTTATTTATTTATTTTTATGTTTATTTTTGAGAGAGAGAGACAGAATGAGAGCAGGGGAGGGACAGAAAAAGACAAATCCCAAGCAGGCTCCAGGTTCTGAGCTGTCAGCATAGAGCCCGATGCGGGGCTTGAACTCATGAGCCCTGAGATCATAACCTGAGTCAAAGTTGGAGGCCCAACTGCCTAACTAGTTAGGCCATGCAGGCGCCCCGAAAGTCACTTTTTAAAAAAATCATTTTCCTGGACAAATTTCTTCACTTTCTAGTGTAAATCCAAAGGCAAAATTTGTGCTAATATTTACACACATTGTAAGTACTTGTTTGACATTCCTTAGTTTATACTAAATGTACACAGATAGTGTCACTGAGTCAGACTACTGATTTTTGTTGTGACAGGTCCTGCTCAGCTCCCCATGTGGGTATGTGAAAGTGTGTGCGTGTTCACATGTGCTATTTATTTGCCTTGTGTGTGTGTGTGTGTGTGTGTGTGTGTGTGAAGAGTGGAGACTCAGAGTAAATCCCAGCTCTGTCCCCATTTTGCTTCGCTGGGTTTTCCATTTTTTCCATTTATACAATTACAAACTGGAGTCCATGAGCTGTAAACTCTGTTCCAACTCTACCATCCAGTGATGCTCAGTTTTTAAATGTTTTCATTACTATTAAACAAACATCATATACTCCATTCAATATCATTAGCAATATCAATATCAATATCAATATCAGTAAGGTCCTGTTTCAGGAAAATTGGTCATAGTTAGATACAAAATCATAAGTCAGATAATTTTAGGCTTATTCATTTTATAATAATGATTATTTGATTTGCAAAATAATTCCCAAAATGGCAGTGAGTAACAAGTTCTGGTTATACATTTAAAATAAAGATTTATTTTTAATCCAAGTTTTCATGAAAGGTAATTTAGAATGAGACATACTTGCATTAAATTAACAAAAAAATATAAGCATATAAATGTCAAATGTCATAAAATCATTGTATTTTGGAATGCTAAAGAAAATTTTTAATCCAACTTCCTCATTTTACAAAATAGGGAACTAGGACCAAATAAGATTACTTATTAGCTCAAGATGACATATGCACTCAGCAAAGGCCCTGAAAAGAAAATCAATTGCAAAATAATTTCCATATTTTTCTCTATTCATATTGTGACCCACACCTCTACATTTACTTATGAAGAAATTAATCACAGCTGTCCCGTGCTTAAATCAAGGCATATTAATCATTGAATAAAATGTAACGTTGTAATGTAGACTGTCAAGTTCATCCTGTATGGGCACATCATATTTTAATTGTCTAAATAGTAGATTCACATGCATTTAAAGTAAGTTAACCTACCTATGGGTTTCTTAATTTTGCTGACTTTTGAATTGTCCCTGAAATAATTGTACTCTATTATTGTCCAGAATTATTTTAGATATATTTTTCAATTTTTCTATAAATAATACTGTGATTTTTTTATAACATGAACACACACTGAAATCTGTCAATAATATGTTTTCTAATACCAACATTCACTGAAATTCCAGGTATCCTTATAAATGTTAGAAGGCTTGACTCGATTGCTTCGAGTCACCAAAATGAGTTTTATTTTATTATTCTTTTTGCATTCTTGTATTAAGTGGTAATAACTTCCTTTTATTTGGTTATCATTTTAGTGCAATGCTTGGAAATTAAATATTAGCACAAAATACTAATTTCCAAGCACACCACTTTATTTTTGCCATGGACCCCGATGTTTGAAGTTAGTAGGGCTCTTTAAAGCTAATATATGCCGCCAGCAATTCATTGATTCATACTAAATCAGTCCAGTTAATTTTAACCTTGACCTCCCACAGCTGTACTGCTTTACTCAGTCCCAAAAAGTCCCGGTTTCTGCTTCTTATGAAGCAATAGTAGAGAGGAGAAACAAAACCCATTCCTTTAAGAAAGATTCCGCCTCCTCTTTTGTAAGTAAGCGCCTAATGGTAACTAGGGAGTCTCTACTAAGTCACACACTTTACTACTCAGCTTTGGGAGAAGCTGCTGCCGCTGCCGCCGCCGCCGCCGCCGCCGCCGCCGCCGCCGCCGCTGCCGCTCTGTGGCTGCAGCGGGTTTCTGTGCAGCACTGCAGAATCCACACCTACACAACAGAAGACACACACGTCAACTACTCTGGACGCAAGAAAGCCTTGCATCTTCAGCGGGTGAGCCGATCTTTTATCCATTTTGTCCAGAAACTGTGGGAAAGGGAATGATCCTGGAAAAGGTTGCTCATCAGACAAGCTTGAAATGGATTATGTTAATTTGTCTTCCTTTGGGGGGGGGGGTGGTGGTCTAGATTTGTGACTGGCAGATGCTCTATATAGTGGAGACTATTGTCTGATAAGTGCTCTTAACATACTTTTTTTTTGGCTATTTATTAAAAGGCTAACCTTGATGCATGCAAAAGCTTTTCATTTTTTGCTTTATAAATGCAAGAAAACATCCAGCCACTCCCAATATCTCTCTCAAATCCTGCAGATATTTTTAAATGCCAGATAAAATGACAGGCTGGGCGTTTTCTAAATATTTTCTGCCCAAAACCAGGAAGCCTTCCCCATGATCCTTTAGGGGTATTTAAAAATCATAAGGCATGGTTAGATTTTGAGCAGATGGGAGATGGTGGTAGACTCAAATTTCTATAGCCTTAGTCCAGTGGAGAGAGAAAATGAGGATAAATGAATCACAGTTTGTGCCAACACAAGATTCATTTTCCACACTTCATATGTGGGAAGAGGAAACTACATTTTAATTAGCACATTTTTAGGGAAGAGGGAGGGGATGAAGATGAGGGGGATGGCATGAAGTATTTGAGGGGGAAGAGAAGAGTCTGCAGAGGAGGAAGGAAATGAAGTGGACTGTCGCCAGTGCCTTGGAAACCAAGGGAGATAAGGGTGGGGAATGAAGTTTGTTCTGCTTGGTAGGGTGGGGTTGACTCGAGGGACCATGAATAACCAGAATGGCGCTTGGAGGGGTGTGCTTGTGAGTGGATTCGTGCCCCTGGAGCACACGTGTGCGGGAGGGATGTACAAGTCGTAGGTGGCAGAGAAAGATATGCATTACTGGGAGGTCTGTTTCGAGAAACATGTCTGGGCGACGGGGGTGGGGGTGGGGGCCCCAGTGTCACCTGTGGATGGATCCACATCCCTGTTATTGCGTGTTGCAAAAGTTTACCCAGCCCCGAATTCAAGGCTGGCGCTGCCTCCCTCGGCTTTTTCCCTGTGTGAGGTCAGCTCTCATAAGCTCACAAGGCCAGGGGCCAGAGTAGGGGGGAAGACCCTCCATGGTCCAAGTGGAGCAGGATTGAGAGAGCCCCTACCCTGCCCCTCTGTGGACATGAGTAGTGGGGGGAGGAAGCGCCCAAGAGGCAAGAATGCTGAGAAGAAAATCTAGGCCCCTCCTATGGGGGGCGTGCGGAGGTCGAACCTCAGCAGTGGCCTCCCCCTCAATACCCAGCAGCCAGAGTAGGCAGCAGAGGCTGACTGAAAGCGGAGGTTCAGCCTCGGGACGCGGAGGGTCGCTCAGGTTAGGGTGGGCAACATTTCCGAGGTGTCCCTCCTCCTCCTCCTCGTACTACGGTTTCCGTATCGGGGTCGCTTCCCCCTCCGACCCTCAGGGGACGCCACGGATCGGAACTGCATAGCCAGAGGAGGACACTGAAGAGGTGCCAAGCAGCCGCTCAGCATCGGGCGCTCGGAGAGGCCCGGCCGGCCTGTAGGTCCCGGCGGCCGCGACCGCACAGATGTGGAGCTAGAGGGCGGGGAGGGGGCCGCCGCGGGTGGAGCCACGGCTCCCGAGGGGCCGTAGGGGCCGCGAGGGGCGGGGCCGTAAGGAGGCGGGGCCCAGAACGTCCTGTGATTCCGAGGGGCGGGGCCAGGACGCTCGGGGGCCCAAGGGGCGGGACCAGGGGCGTTCGGGGGCTGCGAGGGCGGGCCTTTAGGGGGCGGGGCCAGGGGCGCTGGGGGCCTAAAGGCGGGGCTTAGGGGGCGTGGCCAGAGGACGTACCGGGGGAGCTCGGCCAGTCCCGCCAGAGCGCGAGCCACCCGCCGGTAACGGTCGCCAGGGCGAGGGGCGGGAGGGGAAGGAAGGGGGTTAAGTTATTTTTTTAAAAACTGTGAGCTAGAGCTAAGGGCATCGCGACCCAGGTGTCGCTGCTTCCCGCAACCGAGGGCTCGTGGCCCAGGTCCCTCCCTCCTCACGCCCCCACCCCTTCCGCCCTCCCCTCTGGAGCCTTGAGGCGCTTAAGAGGCGGCGGCGGCGGATCGAGCGGCCGCTGCAGTCCCGGCGGCCGCGGAGAAGGAGAAGGGGAAGCACAAAGCCCGCTGCCCGAAGCGAGCTGCGAGGTAATCCTGACGGGGAGAGAAGGAGCCATCGTTGAGCCCCTCCTCCCGGCGGGGACAGAGGGCGCCCGCGCGGGCTGGGCTGCGGGACCCTTCAGCGGGTCTCGCGGGGGCGGGAGCGCCGCGGGTTGCGAGGCCGAAGGGACTTGCTACTGGGTGTTCCTGCGGCCTCAGGTGAACGTCTCTCCGTCCCTGCCCCGGGGGGGGGGGTCCGGAATGGGATCTTGGGCTGGTGCGAGGGGAGTGGACCTGCGAAGGAGGGCCTCGGGGCGCCGCGGGGTGGGCCTGATTCTTGGGCGCCCTCTGGTTTCCCTCGAGAGGTTGAGGAGTTCTGAGATTCGTGAGCTGGTTGAAGCGTCAGTGAACTGGGGACCTTAAGCCCTGAAGGTGCGCTCCCGGAGTGTGGGAGGTTGCTGCACTTGGAAAAGGTGCGGGGAGGTAAGGGAGGGAGTGTTGGTTTGTTTTGCTTTCCTCATTTAAAAAACTTCTGTTACATGTCGAAAGTGTTCAACTACCTTTCGCCTGTGATCCGCGCGTCCCCATCCTCCCGGCGCGCACACACAGCCCTACAAACGCTTACGCGTTAGGTTGTGCTTCCTGCCTGGGGTGACCAGCAGAGTTGGCAGCGGGTCCACTTTGCTGGTGTTTGGGGCACGTCCAGCCTCTTTGGAGGTATCTTATAGGTGAGGCAACACCACAGAGACAGGTAGAATAAACTAGGCCTCCATTAAATTGGCAAGAATGGCCTCAGGTGAACTTTTTTGTTGCAGAGATTTAATTGCAGGTAGTTGCCCGCTTAAAATGGGAGCGTAGTAAAAAAACCACTCATTTCTTTGGCACATGTGCTGTTGCAGTTGACCACTATGGTGGTAAGGAGAAAAATGGAATTTCACTCAACCAAGGGGTTTTGAATTGGGATTATATGCAAGTTTGGTGAACGAGTTGGTAACATTCTGGGGTTGGACCCAGGCACATAAACGTGTGTCCATGTTTATGTTAAATTATACAACATTTTAGATTTAGCAGTACGAAGTGCCTCTGCGGCATACCTGGTGTATCCTAATTTGGACTTCAGAAGACTTCTAGAGAGGGTGTTATTAAAGAGAATAAAATAAGAGTGCCGTGTAATCTGTCGTTAAGATGTTTGACTATTAAAAATTTGTATGGTCCCAACACATTTAGAAGGTTAAGTTACTTTGGGACATGTGTGTAAACTTTTTTGTCTCTAAATCTTGATTGCATTGTAATTATCTTCTAATTCCTTTTCCTTTGCTTAAATTGAGCAGATTAATTTTGCAGAGTGAGGGCCAGAAAAAAATGGCCACTACGTTTAACGTTTCATCTTTTCAAAGAGTTCAGTCTATTATTATTTTTTTTTAGTGTATATTTATTTTTGAGAGGGCTTGAGAGAGAGACAGAGCGTGAGCAGGGGGTGGGCAGAGAGAGAGAGAGAGGGAGGGAGATACAGAGTCTGAAGCAGGCTCCAGGCTCTGAGCTGTCAGCACAGAGCTCCACCTGGGGCTGGAACTCATGAACCAGGAGATCATGACCTGAGCCAAAGTTAGATGCTTAACCGACTGAGCCACCCAGGTGCCCCTCAAGAGTTCACTCTTAAAATTGACCTCAAGTACTGGCATGTTGGTAATAGTTCTTAAAGAAAAAGTGGTGTATCAATTTTGAATGTTAAATGTAATTTTTTTTTTTTTTTTTTTTACAAATAGTTTATTGTCAAATTAGTTTCTACATAACACTCAGTGCTCATCCCCAAAAGTGCCCTTCTCCATGCCCATCACCCCTCCTCCCCCCCACACCCATCAGTCCTCAGTTTTTTATCAGCATTCAAGAGTCTCTCATGGTTTGCCTCCCTCCCTCTCCCCAACTATTTTCCCCCTTCTTCTCCCCCATGGTCCTCCGTTAAGTTCCTCCTAATCCTCCTATACGTGCAAACATATGATATTTGTCCTTCTCTGCCAGACTTATTTCGCTCAGCATAACACCCTCAAGGTCCATCCATGTTGCTACACATGGCCAGATTTCATTGTTTCTCATTGCCATGTAGTATTCCATGGTATAGATAAACCTGTTAAATGTAATTTTTAAAATATTTATTTATTTTTGAAACTTGTAAAAAATGTTTGAGAGTGAGAGTGTGAGGGGGCAGAGTGAGAGGGAGACACAGAATCCAAAGCAGCCTCCAGTCTCTGAGCTTTCAGCACAGAGCCCAACATGGGGCTTGATCCCACAAACCAGGAGATCATGACCTGAGCCAAAGTTAGAGATTTAACCAACTGAGCCACCCAGGCGCCCCATAATGTATGTTTATTTTTGAGAGAGATCGAGAGAGTGCAAGAAGAGGAGGGGCAGGGAGAGGGAGACAGAGGACGAGAAGTAGGCTCCCTGCTAACAGCAGAGAGTTCAATGTGGGTCCCAACCCCACAAACTGGGATTATGACCCTAGCCGAAGTTGGGTGCTTAACCTACTGAGCTACTCAGGTGCCCTGAATGTTAAAGGTTATTTAAGAGCTCTTGAGATTTTTGGTTATGGGGCATTCAATATGTTATAGCTTTTTACATATATAACAGAAAATGTTTGTTGATAAACATCTGACATGACAGGTGATCATAAGATACCTGGGAAATATTTATTTTCATGCTAGAAGGATTGTATTTTCAAAATAGGTTTTGTATTCTAAAAATGAGAAAATTGTAACTTTGCTGTTTCTGGCCCCTTTTATCAATAATGTTATACTGGGAAGAATGTGAGCTCCACTCAGTGATGTTCAAAGTGTGGATTTGGTCTTTGTAAAACCAGAATGTCTTTTGAGACTAAGAGGACATTAGCATCAGCTCCTACACACAATCCTAACATCTAGACTCAGGGTGAGCCCCAACTTGTGTGGTTGTGAGGTTTCCTAAAGTAGGTGTATCACGTGTGTTTTTGTTATACCTAAGCCTGTATAGGTTGTTAGCTGTTTAAGCTGTTCTGTTGCAAAGCAGGTGGTTAGCAGTACTGGGCAGCACTTATGCATGTCATCGGGGTAGAAGAAGCATTTGTATTGAGGGAAGAAGTCCTATAAAAAGCACAGAAACCCATCTGTGAACAAATTCAGTTTGTACATGTTAAGGAATGATAATAGCAGAACCTTAACCGAGTTGTGTTATGTAAAGTGTTTAGAATATAGTCTGGTATTCAGTGCTTTATGTGTTTATTATCATTAGTATATAAAATGACTCTTTCCAGATGGTTATATTACACTACCTAGCAAGCAAAGACTCAGCAAATATTTGTAACTATTATTTATTTCCTCTGCCTCTACACCAGTTTTATATGTTTTAATTTACTTATTCCTCACGACAATCCAGAGACTAAAGAGACATAGAGAGTGTAAGTATTTTGTCCAAGAAGTATAGTTACTAGGTGCTACAGGCTGGTTCTGAACCCAGAGTCTGACTCTAGAGTGAGCCCTGCTATTAAACTTGGGGTAGTAGTTACAAATCATTGAAAGGTCTTCGCCGTGTTCCCAAGACTCCAGCTGTGCCTGTGTCTTGTTTAGCCACAACTTGCTGTATTAATACCACCAACAGGTTTTTAAATATGAAGAGTGGTGATTAAGTGGAATCACCTTTTGACTTTGGAAGAGGATTCTTTTGATTCATACAATATATGTTTAGCTAGGATGCTAGGATTTGGGCTTGAGTATCTTATCTTTCTAGTTACTAAAGATATTTAGAGTGTTTCTCTCTCTCTTTTTTTTTTTTTCCTTAAAGCTTACTAGGTGTTGTTGGGCTCCACCAGGCCCAACAGGCACTAGTCCCCTTGGAGAGATTCTGGTTCTGTGCTAAGTCAGTAGGCCTAATCTTATGATTACCTTTTTTTTTTTTTATGTTTTTTATTTATTTCTGAGAGAGAGAGAGACAGACAGACAGCGACAGCGCGAGCAAGAGAGGGTCAAAGAGAGAGGGAGACACAGAATCTGAAGCAGTCTCCAGGCTCTGAGCTGTCTGTCAGCACAGACCTGAACACGGGGCTCGAACCCACGAACCGTGAGATCATGACCTGAGCCGAAGTCGGATGCTTAACCGACTGAGCCACCCAGGTGCCCCACCAGTCCTCTGATTACCAACAACCTATCAACCTGAGATGAATTTTAAATTAAATTTGTTCTAAATATCACCTTAGTTGCCTTCTAAAATTAGCCATAAGATATAACTTGTGGCTTCTACTTTGTCACCTTAGTTGCCTTCTAAAATTAGCCATAAGATATAACTTGTGGCTTATACTTTGTCACATTCCTAAGGACTTGTGTGTTGCTGCTTTACCAGTGTAGTTGATAGGTCAGGCAAATAAACTATAAGCTAAATTAGGAGCTGTTTTAAATAATGTTTAGAAGTATTAGTATAGGGGAGCCTGCATGGCTCAGTTGGTTGAGCATCCGACTCTTGATCTCAGGGTCATGAATTCGAGTTCCACATTGGGCTCCATGCTGGGCTTGGCACCTACTTAAAAAAGAGAATTACTGGAGAAGACTGAAGTATCCTTTTTTGATAGTTTAGTGAAATATGATGTTAGGAAAAAATGTTTTAAAACAAGCATATGTTGAATTAAGCAAGCTCAAGCTATATTGAAGATAACAGGTTACTATTTCTTGTCTAAATAAGTACTGAAGTTTTTGGCTAGAATTAATATTCAGGGTTGTTTCCAAATCCTTTGGAAACTTCCAGATATGTAGAGTTAGAATAGAAAAAATCTTAAATGTATAATCAGAGTCCTATTCTTTCTATTAAACAGACACCTTATTTTAAATTGACTAGTTGTAGACTGTGTTACTCAAATGTTACTCAAAATGAGTGCCCTAATCCTTTCTTTCATGTCTTCTATGTTAATATTTATCATTTGATGTTGGGGTCCATCCCAGCATATTTTTCAAGTGTATTTAGAGAGAACAGTGAGAGTGAGCTCGTGCGTGCATGTGGGAGGGGCAGAGAGAAAGAGTAAGAGAACT